GGAACCAGCTGCCTGAAACTTTGGGTACCAGGCTAGAGTTCAGTACAGCCTTTCATCCACAGACAAATGGACAGATTGAGAGAGTCAATCAGATTCTGGAGGACATGTTGAGAGCTTGTGCGCTAGATTATGGATCTAGTTGGGATGACAATTTGGCCTATGCAGAGTTCTCCCATAACAAAAGTTATCAAGCCAGTTTGAAGATGGCCCCTTTCGAACTTTGTACGGAAGGAGGTGCAGAACACCGTCATCGCGGGATGAAGTTAGAGATCGACAGTTGTTCAGACCAGACTTAATATGAGATTCTGAGGATAAGGTTAAGTTGATTTGAGACAGACTCAAGGTAGCCAAATCCAGGTAGAAGAGTTATCGGGATACTAAATGCAAGGAGATAGTCTATGAAGTGGGAGACAGAGCATATCTTCATATATCCCCACTTCGAGGAGTTAAACGTTTTGGAGTCAAGGGAAAGCTAGCACCACGTTTTGTGGGGCCCTACAGAGTTTTGGAACGCATGGGAGAAGTTGCATACAAGTTAGAATTTCTCGAAGGATTGTCAGGAGTTCATGATGTGTTTCATGTTTCCCAGTTGAAGAAGTGGCATGCAGAGATGGACGATATTCCTCTGAGAGATATAGTGCCACTGGAAGCCATTCAGTTGGATAGTGATCTGACCTATGAAGAGAAGCCAGTCAAGATTCTCGAGTTTTCTAGCCGAGTTACTCGCAGCAAGGTTATCAAGTTTTGCAAATTCAGTGGATCCATCATACCAAAGAGGAAGCCACCTGGGAGCGAGAAGAAGATCTTCGCAAGGACCACCCAAACCATTTTGCTGACCAACCAGAATCTCGAAGGCGAGATTCATCTTAAGAGGGGTAGGTTTGTAACATCCCAATTTTTCAATTTGAATGTTATACATAGATCATCATATGCATATCATATTTTATTTGCATTTTGTTGTGATCCTAGAAATCATAAGCAACTCAAGGACCCAAGGAGAGAGTTGGAGGTTTCACAAAATTTTCATACTTGAATTTAGTTCAAATTTAAAAAGATGATCAATTTGATTTCAATATTTTCTCTCCAATTATTTCCAATAATGAAAATAAATGAGAGAAGATAAAATGACTTCTTCAACAGAAGAGAAATAATGGAGGAGAAATTATAAAATCAAAGTATTATTTTATTTGTATTCTATTTGCTATTTTATTTGAATTAGAGAAAAACATGCATTTTTGAAAATACTATTTTAGTCCAGATAAATGTTCATCTTGTCCTAAATATTAGGTTTGGATGGTGAAAATTGTTTCTGAAATTTTTAGAATTTATTTTATATTTTATTAGGATTTTTCCTTCACGGCGAACTTATTTAAAAAAAGTTCCAGACCGAACTGGGCCGAAGGCCCAGCCGGCCCAGCTCGCCCACGACACCGTGCGGTAGCCGGACTCCGCCAGAGTCCGAGGCCGCCCCGCCTCGCCTACCCCTCTCCTAAGTCAGAGACCCTCCCCGGGGCCTCCTTAAAAGCCGTCGCCGCCCTCTCCTCTCCTCCTCGCATCACCCTGCCGCCTGTCGCCAGCGCCGCCGCCATCGCCTAGTTCGCCGCTGTCGCCTGCAACCGCTGCTGCCGCGCTGCGCGCCGCCGCCCGCGTCGCATCGCCCCGCCACGTCGTCACCTCGCTGCAGACGCCCGTCGCCGGAGCCGCCGTATCTTGCTGCCGCCCGGCATTGACCTCGCCGCCGGTTTTCTCCTGTGAAATGGTATAAAAACCGTTTGGTTTTTTCGGTTTTATTTTTTTAGATCGGTTTAGGTTTAGATCGGTTTTTATTTTTTATTTTAGTTTAATTAGTAAACGCTCACTCGTTAGATCACTTTAACGAACGGTTTCGTTCATTTATTTCTGTTAGTGAACGTTCGTTTCATAGATTTTTCTTTTAGTTTTATTTTCGGCCAGAGACCTATACGGTAATAGTTTTCTCGTGATTTAGCCCCTGATCTTAAAACTAGCGTAACTTTTTGCTCGTTTGTCCAAATTAGATGAAACCAGCGCCTAAATCTTTGTAACAATCTCTTCTTTCGAGTTAACCAAGTTGAACATGATTTTGACAATTTAAAATTTGAGTTTACTTCAGATTAGTAAACGGTCTTGTTTTGTTCGTATCTTGAGTTTCGTTTCTCCGTCTCAGTTGTTTCTTTTTGCAAATCATAGCTAATCACATATACCTACTGTTAAGATCTAATCCACATGAAAATAATGCAGTTAGGTTTTGCTTTCTGTTTAGTTTAGACATTTGCTCGTTTTGTGTTTTGATTTGGATCTTTTATCGATTTCTCTCTATTTCATTTGAGTGATTGCTTATGTATGCTACTGTTTTTCTGCGCTGGATTACCCGGAGTGTGAAGCTTGTTACTATGAATCTCTGGAGTTTGCATATCGTCAGCAAGGCAACTTACACTTTGATCATACTCTTCTATACCCAGTTTTTACTATGCATTAGTTCTGCCCCTCAAATATTTGCATAAGTAGGATTGGGAACATGTGGTTTCGTTGTAGTATTATGAGGTAGGAACATAATACCTTTTTGATCACCCCGGGAATATTTGTTATGCTCTATTATTGCTTAGCCATGCTCGTAGACGGGGATTGGATCATGATTCACATGGAAGTTATGTGAGTTATTAATCTTGGATAACATTAAGGTGGCAACTTTAATACACACTGGGTGGATTGATTGGGGCACCTGTAGAATCCAGTGTTTGTCCATTAGGGAAATCCCGGAGTACCCGTCTGATTTTTCCTTGGTTCGCCACCCAGGCTCAAAGGGATCAGATGATATTTCATGCCTAGAAACTTTCGTGTGCAGCCACAAGCCATTATGGGCTCTGGCATAGTTGAGTAAGTTGTATGGGCTTTCGAAGAGGTGGACTAGCAGATGTAGGGGAAAGTATGTGTACCGGTCTGCCCGGAGTAGAGAGTTAATGCTTCAGAAAGGCTATGTCTCGATCTTCTGATCATGGATGCAGTCGAGTCTTGTGAGGAAAAGTGCGCAGCCTCTGCAAAGTGTATAAACTAATCATGGTTAGCCGTGTCCCCGGTTATGGACATCTTGAATATCTGGAATTGGATATTATTGTTGATCTCATCACTCTTTAATTAATTGAATTGGGTTTAAAGATGATACTTGTTTAATTGCGATTTGAGTTGGAGGAACCTTCTCAAATATTGGTACAACTTGGGAGTAGTTTAAATAAATTTATTCCTTTGTTGTAGGGAAAAACTAGCTTTATGCAAAATCATAAACTTAGAGCCTCCACCAGCCAAATATTGCATGTAGATATAGTTCTTGCATTCATTGCTTTACAGTGCAACTCTGCCAGAATATTCAATGTGCTGACCTACACGGCTGCAACGTCTCACGTTGCAGACTACTCAGACGACGAATAAGGTGTGATAGGTCGTTATCTTGCACTCAGCTATGCCGTTGGAGTTGATGGGCTCATTTACTTTCGAAGCTTTCGCAATTATTTAGTTTAGATGGCCTTCAGCCATGATATTCTATGTAATCATACTCTTTATGAGGACTCGATGTAATAAGTGTGTGACTGAACTTTGTTATAATTCCTCGAGTACTGTGTGTGTCAGCATTACCGATCCAGGGATGACACTTAAGCACATAGACTTCGGTCCATTGGAATCATGGTCGCTACGGGAAAGTTTAGTTCTATCACCGAGCCGGACACGTTGTGTATGAACCGGCCGGGACTCTGTAAGCCGCCGGGCATTAGCTTGTGTATATAAAGGGGTGACCCAGCTGCGGGTTAGGGAAAGAAACAACAAGTCGAGAACTAGGTCAAGCGTATTCGCTCCCTGGTAATCGAAACCCAAGCAATACAACCTAAAGCAGGAGTAGGCCTTTACCTCGTTGCGAGGGGCCGGACCTGGGTAAATGCTCTCTGTGTCCCTTGTCCCGTTTAACCCCTTCAAGCTAACTACGTTACGATGGCTCAACACCTAAGTCCTCATGCTAGGGCATCTGCCGTGACAATTCCACGATAAGAAGGGACTACAGTTGCAGGTGGAGTCACGTGGAGTCTGGGAGTAGCAGCGGTGCTCATGGTGTAACTCAAGTCCAATGTATATGGAGGTTCGACGCATGGATGAATCCAAGGTGGTGGTGAATATTCGCCAAGGTGGAGTTTGTTAGAGTTGTGTCGAATATTATTATACAAGATAAGTTACATTTGCACTTGGTTTTGGACTGTGTGTAGACAGGATAGGAGTTGTGTCCTAATAGGACACTTGTATCCTAGGCCTCTCATATATAGTAAGGGTAGACACACGATGTAACATATGCCACATAATAGCACAGGCACGCGGGGGAGCCGACGCGTGTGCTGGCGTCCGGGTGGCCAGGGTGCAGTATTGTAGTGGTGTCATAGGGAGGAGCGCCCGTAGTCAGGCTCCGGAGATATAGTCATGATGGTAAACCTCGTTAACAAATCTCGGTGTCGTGCCTCGTGTGATTGCTTGATCTTCGCGCCTCAAATTTATTCTAACAGATGCACTAGGTGTTGCTACTGTGGTAAAGGAAGAGTCGATTCAGTACCGTTTCTTCATTGCCCACATGGCAAAGCAATTGCAGCAATCTGTCCACGTCTCTTTTAATCTACCTCTACCACAAGTAGTATAAATATGTTGGGAAACTAGTCAGCTGGTGTGCATGCACAAATCTGTTTGTTGGAAGCTACTTCCTCCGTCTCAAAATATAAAAACGAGTGTCAAAAACGTTTTTATGTTTTGGAACGGAGAGAGTAGATCTCATTCTCATGAGTCATGAGTACACTGAATTATACACGAAATGCCTACGTAGACCAACGGAACAACTACAAAATAATAAGCAAAGTAACACAGGGTACGTTACGACGCACTCGCCGTACGTCGATTATACTCGAACACTAATTGGGCACTACGAGGCATTTTGAGGCTAAGCTATCAACAGGCTAATTAAATGCGTTGAAGAACAACCGCAAGTATATGCCGCCGTAGCAGCCGGCGCCAGTAGACCCTCCTCCTCCTCCAACGATGCTTCCCGTGTCGGAGCCGCACTCGAACGGTACCCCGGCCAGGCTTGGCGGCAGAGGCGGCAGCGGTGGCGGTGCTTGAGGCACCGGCGCCACGTTAGCCTTCATCGTCGTCGTAGTGTTGTGCCCGCGTACGCCGTCCGCGCACCCGCCGTTCTTGGAGGACGAGGCCTCCACGGTGCAGCTTCCAGTGGCAAGCTTGCGCTTCTTCTTCTTCTTGTGGTAGGAGATGCCGCGCGCCCTGGACTGCGCATCGCGGACGTCACGCAGGTATAGCCTGACGGCGCGTGCGGCGAAGGGGTTGCAACTGGCGTCTTGCTGCTGCGGCGGCGGCGCGCTGACGCTGCGGCTGTAGCGCTCGTCAAAGGCAGCGCGTAGGCGGCCGACGAGCGCGTCGAGGCTGCCCCAAGCCTGGCGGAGCGGGCACGGGCACGGCGCCGTCGCCGTTATCGCGTGTACGCCGTAGGACGGGCAGGGCGGCGCGTGGACGCGGGTCTTCCCGAAGCGGTCGAGATAGCGGAGGAACTCGAGTACGTGGGCGCCGCTGCACCGGCGCAGCACGAGCGGTGGGCGGTGCGCCGCCAGGTACCGCACAAACGTCTGCCAGTCACGCCGTTTCTGCGATTCGTACCTGCTCGGCCTCCTCGCCGCCGCCGGCTGTGCGGCGCCAGGACCCTCGCCGGTAGCTGGCATAGCCACACCAGAGGTCCCGAGCAAGCAGACGAATAGTAGAGTACCAGTACTCAACTACACCGACTGATGAGACTTGAGATGAGAAAGGTTGATCGACCGAATGGCGTGTATATATAGAGTGGACACCTACCGGAGTTATGATGGTGGCTGGGACGAATAGAGGATGATAATAGCATCTCCAGCCGTTGGACCCCCGGGGCGGCTAAAATCGCTGCCTGGGGTGACCCGGCGCAAAAATTGAGTCTAGGTGTAAGTTGGCCCCCAGCCGTCGCCTCCAGGACCGGCCTAGGCCTGAAAAAAAATTAGACAAATTTGGGCTGAAACACGTCACTTTTCGGCAAACATGGTCCTTTATATTCGCAAATTTAGGCTAAAACACGCCATTACATATAAAAACTAGTCAAAAAAAACTTGCTGAAGGCCGAGAAGTCGCCGTCGTCGCCGCCATCGTTGGCCTTCTCCTCCTTGACTCGGGCGCCCCTGCTGGACCCCTCCCCGGCTGGTGGTGGCGGCGGCGGCGCGTCGTCCTCGTCGTCGCTGTCGTCGATGATGACGACACCGCCTTCGTCGCGGCCTCGGCGGCACTGCGCGAAGCGCTTTACGGCGGCGCGTGTGCCCATTCAAGGGCCGCGTCGTCGTCGAGCTCGACCTCGCCGTGCTCCACCTTCACCGGTGCCAGCAGCTCCGACTCCGTCTTCACCGGCGAAAGACCCGGCTCCGTCTTCGGCTTGACGAACGCGGGGGAGGAGCAGACGAGGAGGCGCGCCGGCCGCCCTCGCTGATGACGATGCCGGCGATGCGAGTGCGCCGGCCGAGCGGCGTCTCCGCCGCGGGCTCGGCCTTGACGCCGAGCAGCGATGGAGTGTCGGAGGAATGGGAGGAAGAACGCGACGAGGAAGAGGAGGAGGAGGAGCCGAACCTCCTCGGCACCCATTGCCCGTCGTGTCGGCGGTGTGTCGGGGCGGCCGTCCTCGTCAGGGGGTACAGCAACGGTGAGTTGTTGCCGCCCTCGAGGTGCGCCAGCACGCCGTCGAGCGTGCGGCCGGGGACGCCCCACCAGAGGTGGCGCTTTGTTGTTCTTGGTGCCGTCGATCACCGGCGCCCCGTTGGTGGACGCCAGCCGTTGCTGCTGGCGGCGCTCGAAGTACGCCGCCCATGCCGCGTTGTTGTCGGCGGCGTACTGGGGAAGGGAGCGCTCGGCGTCGGTGAGGGAGGCGCGGGCGATCTCGACCTCGTCGGCGAAGTACGATGGCTTGGTGACGGCGTCGGGCAACGGGGGAATGGGCACTCCCCCATTGCTGAGCCTCCAGCCCGTCGGCCCGCGCGCGGATGTCCGGCGGCGCCGGGATGTTCGCCTGGAACAGGAGCCATGACTCCTGTTCGCGGAGCGGACGGCGGCCGAAGCCGTTGGCCGCCGCCTCGTCTCCGGGGAAACGCTCGACCATCGGGGAGAAGGAGTGGCTGGGGAGAAGAGATCGGCGGGAGAGGGATCGGCGGGAGAGGGAGGGCTGGGGTGGCACTCCAACGCTGGCGAGCGAGACCATATATAGCCGAGGGAGGGGAGGCGTCGGCGCGCGTCGGCGCGCCGCCCCGTGACGCGCCGTCCGTAAGAGGAATCAATGGAAAAGCTGAGCGGCGGCAGCCTTGCCATTGATTCCCCGCGGGAAACCGAGGCATCGGGAAGACGAGGGGGCCGGTGTCGCTGACGCGGCTGCCACGCGACGTTTTCGCGCCAAAAACGATTCGTCCGGCGCCCCCAGCGCGTCGGGTTTGGGTTGGGTCCGTCGACGTCAATTTCGGTCCGAGTAGACAAAAAATGAGCTCCTGAGACACGACTGGATCGATTTTTTAGCGCCGGCGGTCGAAAAGTCGTTTGGGAGGCCTTGTTAGGGGCGCGGCTGGAGATGCTCTAAGCATAGCATACTCGACGGCCGGCCGGGGACGGCGACACAGTGCACGTGATAGTAGGGGCCCGGACGTGTGCTTTACTGCCTCTGGTGTATGACGAGGTCATCTTGTGCATCCCCGGGCGAGGGAGGGGGCCGGCCGCACGCGTATGTAGGGACCGTCTGCAGATCAGATCAGTGCAGAGTGCAGAAGGGAGGAGACTCGCTCAATCAATAGAAGGAGGTCGTGTCAGGCTAGTGATTGATTCACAACACGACGCATATGCATATTAGCTGTGTGGTCTCCATTCTACTTGTGGCCTGGTCTAGCTAGGAGGGTGAGGGTGGCAGTCGTCGTCGTCTGACTCGAGATGCATCATAAAAGTGTCCTTGCATGGCTGCCGATGGAGCTCAGTCGACGGTATGCATGGCCCGGGCATGCATGCACTCTATTGGTATCTTGCCTCGTTGCAGATAGCATGCATGTGGTACGAGGCCCTGACTAGCTTTGCATTGCATGCATGCACGTATGTGCATGTCTAATTACCGATCCTTTCATCCGCGTCACTCTCATACTATCAGCGATATCATTAGTTCATTACTCTGATCCAAAGATAGTTGAAGCGACGATATACAGCATTTTAGGCTGATCGGCGTGATTTAATGTACTACTCCCTTCGTCTGAAAATACTTGTCATCAAAATGAATAAAAAGAGACGTATCTAGACGTATCAACACAACTCTGTTTTTTAAAAAAGGAGACGCAAGGGTCATGGCTCTCCTCTCTCCCCCCTCTCCCTCCCCCTCCCGGGCGGCGGTGGCGACGGTCTCGCCTCCTCCTCCCTTGTTGCTAGCGGTCGATGTTGCTGGCTCTCCTCGCTGCCTCTGCGCGGCGTCTTCCCCTTCTCCTCCCCCTTCCCTGTCGTCCACTCCGTGTTCTGGGCTCTGGGGTCCGAGGATTCGGACTCCGACCCCGGCTCCCCTCCTTCGCCCCCTCGCCCTGGGTGTGCGGCCCGGCGTTTCTGCTCCGCTGCGGTGCTGTAAGTTCGCCCCCGGCGGGCGTGGCTGCCCCGCCCCCGCTTTGCTGGTTGTGGAGGGATGGACCCGTGTCTCGTGCAGGCAGCGTAGGGCTCCTCCGCCGTCACCAGCCTGTGGCATCCTTGGTCCTGGGCGGTGCTGCTCGCAGGTGGTGGACTTGGCGCCCCTCCCCCCTCCCCAGTTGCCTCCTTCGCCTGCGTCTTGTCTGATTGCTCACTGGCGGCCGGCGCGGCCGTCAGGCCGTCTGAAACCCTAGATCTGGCGGCGCCCTCCGTGGTGGTGCCAGATCTTGGGTGTCGGGCATCCGCGCCTCCAGGCGGGCCTGAGGCCCCGCCTCC